CATCGCACTTTTTTAAAATATCTTGAAAATGATTTAACAATAGGCTTTTTCAATAGTTCTCGAGAAGTTCTACAGTTCCTGATAGGTTTCAACAATCGTTCTGCTACGCAACATCGGTAAAATATGTATTAAATATGCTTGTGGCATCATACGCTTCAGTGCAGGCAGACACGAGTTGCTTGCTTTTGTCATATTAAACTTACCGAGCTTCCACTGTGCGATCGAATTTAGGATTGCAAAGAAAAAAAGTATTTAGGCTATATCCGATGAGTTGTCTCGTTCTAAGTGTTGCTTTGGGAACCAGCGATAAGTAGCGGAGGACTCTGCCCGCCAGGCTACCCGTTCGTGATCACGTTCAGCTCGGCTACGACGGGATATGCATTATCGACGGAGGCGATGATCACAAAATTCTATTCCCGGACTCGCCGCTACGATTTAGCGCCATGTTTTTGGTATCGCCTAAAACCGTAGCGTTGTGCATCTCCCTACTGATCTCTGGTAATTTCGCCATTAATTGTTTGTCTTGTAGCCAGCACCATCATCCGTGGTATTCGTAAAGTTAGCATGTCCGCCGATAACTCGATCTACGGACTCTCAGAGGCTCACTTGATACAAAATCTGGTGGTAAGATTCCTAATCTTTTTATCTACAGTCCCTTTCTCTCTTTTATTGTTTTATCCTCACCGGGATATCTGTAAGATTTATTTTTCGTCAACGATCCCATATTTCAAATTCATATTATACCAATTATCGATTACTCTTTTTAAAAAGTTTCTAAATATTAAATTCCATCCAACTCCGACAGAGGGCGCCACAATATCCTCCATTTTGACCCAATGTCATCCATAATCCTTAAGTACGATAACGCGTCCAGTCAGCTCGGGAACCGTAGCTCGTTAAAAAGAATCGAGTGCTTGAGTAAGCATATATGGAATTGCTGAAACATAACGGGACTTACTCTCAAAGCTATTTGGCCCATTTCAATTCCGATAAGAATATCTATGATATTTCATTATCGTCATAGCAAACATTGCGCAACCCTTTGGACAAACCGTCAACGGATCAGGAAGGAACACATGCAGCTCGAGAGGATGATAACGCAAAACACAGAATGACACTCTGCCAGTGCGGGATACTCAATTGTTTCGACAAATAAAGGGGCCCACGATTCCGGAATAAGGTAAACTTTTTCATTTCTATATTTTGCTGATCCAACATTGAGAATCGTAAAACTATGATAGAGGTAAAAGCGACACTCGACGTAGGCACAGATGGCGGGATATACGTTTGACCTGCCTGTCAAAAAGACTTAGGTTAAACTTTTCATTATGAAATATATTCGTGGCAGACGCCCCTGAGGCTTAGGACTTTGAGCGTCGAGTAAATTTAGATTTTCAATGGACGTCCTTTTGTCTCTGCTTGAAAGACTCTACCAAGAACATGGCGTTCGAGATTCTTCAAGAGTAAAAGAAAAAGACAGGAATACGGTGAACGAGGAGTATCATTCTGGATATCCATATCCTATAAGAGTCTGGGTGCCTGAAGTGGTGAACAGCGATTGATATGGATGAGACGTTCAACTTTTGATATACGCTCGATTTGAAATGGAAAATCATGGCCGGATTGGGTTCGGACGTGACTTGAAATAAAGTTTAACTTTGAGGTTGATGGCTGCGGCGTTTTCCAGGTATTCGGTGGATTGGCCCAGTAGTTTGGTTTGAGGCAGCCATTTTTTCGTTCGTGTCAACACGTCAATCCCCAGTATTTCCAGCTTCCTTTCGATACTTGATTTGGTGTCTATCAGTGATTATAGTGTTACCCAAAACAATTTAATGCTAATTAAGACTGTCTTTTGAAAGAAGACAAGATATCCAAAGTTATTTCTTAATAAGAATACAAATGGCGCTAGTATTGGTACATACAAACAACACAATCCAAGCAGTAGCAGCAGCTCAATTTCTTTCGTTCTGCTTCACGCTCACCGACTGCTCATCCAAGAGAGACAAGACGAGAGACAAGAGAGACAGATCCGCCAAGCAGAAATTGAATGCGTCAACCATAATGCCGTGATAATATTTGTAGAGTCAAACGGTATCAGTTTAGGTGGGGCTTCCTCTCGTCGTTCGAGCGTGGCTCGAATCTCCGTCCTTCTTTTTCTTCTCTTCTCTTTCTTTTTACCTCGTTCTCATAAAAGAATAATTCCAAGAAGATTGCGTTCTCGTTAACGCAAACGAAATGCGCGATGCCCTCTCGTTCTCTTGTTATTTATTTATTTCCTTTTTTTTTCTCTCTCTTAGTCTCCCCGTCTATCGATCTCTTCTTCTTCCATGACTGCTCACGAGATACTGGATGGCGGTGCTAATTTGGGAATATCGTATACGAGGGATCTCGTGGCCATTGATGTACAGCCTTTAGAGCTTGTGCATGAGAATTTCGTCGGCTGCGAGTAAAGACAAGTGGATCACGGAAGTTAAAGAAAAAAAGGAAAGAAGACATTGTTAAAAGCAAAGGTAAAGGAAATAAAAAAAGAGAGGGGCGGGAGGTGGCGGTGGAAGACCATGCAAGAGCCGGTCCTGGGGCCACAACTTAAATTGCCTCGATAAAAGTTTGCAGAATAAAGCGGCCCATTGCCGGGTACGCTTACGAGGGCGGCGCGGGTTCGTTCACTGACGCTCACTATATCAGAAACATCTGCCAAACGTTATTACAACTTTGAATAAAGAACGGCGCCGCGACGGAGAAAACTTTAGCGTGGCAACAACGGCTTCTGCAATTTCTTTTTGTCTTTTACTTTTGTTCTTTTTTTTTTTATGGCTGTCTTTGTCCCTCCAATCTGTCTCTCTTTCTGTCTTTACTCCCACGTTAAACTTTTTCCTCTCACACTGCCGATCCTCTTGGCGTCCCTCGCAACCGACGCCGCCGCCGCCCTCGGCGTCGTTCGCCCGTCGGAACTCGGCGAATAAATCAAGACGTTATTTTAATTTTCCTTGGATACGTATTCCTGGAGTAGCCCGGCATTCCATCTATTTTAATTCGTCTTCCCTTCTTCGACTGCCGTCACTTCCGTTCTGGGCCAATCGGCAACCTTTCCTACTTGGCCAAACTTTAGATTACTTTCTCTGAATGTAAAGCCAGATGATTGCCAAGGGGTGGCGTGGGTCTCGCATCCCTTAACGCAATTTTCGAGACTCCAGATCTTTGTCGCAGCATCTCTGCTGCGTTGAGATTCTATATAAAATTTTTTTTTAAAGACTCATTGATTCCTGGATTAAATCAGATAGAGATACAGACACTGTAAATCCCATGTACTATATATGTTTCTTTGTTTCAGGACCTACCTACATGGTGGACCATCATCCCCATCAGTCATAAAATATGAGAAAGTATCCCAAAGTAGGAATGACAAGAAAACAGACCGTTAATGAGAATATGAAAATGGGTCCGTTTGGTTTATATGGATAAAGGAGGACGACAATAACCTAAAGGAAGTAAGGGGAGCATCATGGCTATCGACTCTGCCGTTCGGTTGGTTATCGACACGATCGTTAATCTTTTGTCACGGCTCCCGGTCTTTGCTTGGCGTTCCATGAAGTGCGCCACGCCGCCGCCTTTTGATGCTCCTCATTCCTTTCAGGCCCGATTCCCGTAGCCCCGGCCGTACGTAGACGCATGGATCGCGATCCGGCCCAATCGCTCCTGGTAACCCTTTTCTTTATTTTTTTTCATCACAAGTTTTTTTCAGGATCAACAAGGAGACCCCGTTCTTGGGGTTTTGTTCGCTAAGTAATTGTCCGACTGTTGTCGCGGTTAGCTGAAGCCCGGGTCGAAGAAGCTCTTGTGGACCTCGAACCGCCTCACCATCCACCATTGCTCTTATTTCACATCTGCCCAGTGTGAAATCCATTAGACACCGGATCGACGATCACGAGTCTTTCCAAGCAGAAAAGTTTCGTTGTGTTTTTGATAAGGATGAGTATATTTTTTTTTTATTTATTTACTATATTTGTTCGCCGCTGTGGTTCATTGTCCTTGTACGAATATCTATGTAGCTAAGATTGGTTCTGGTTCTGTTCTAGGGTCGAGGAGGGGATCTTGTTCGATCCGTCGCCCGAGGCACGTTACGGCAGCCATTTGTAACCGAATTAATTAGGCAAATCGGTACCCGCGATGCAGTTACAATTAATCTGTGCCCAGTTCACGTATTACCAGGGACAAACCAGGAGCGTAACTAGCGTACACGATGTTCGGCAATTCCGCATTGTGTTAAATTTATGGCACCCACTCAGTATTATATAGCTCATTTATTTTTCAGTCTCACGAGCACTCTAGACGATTACTCAGGAACGGCAGCCATTAAACAAGAGCTCAATAGCTCGTTCACGTGTCCAAGTTGAACTGGCCTCGCGATCTTTTATCATTTTCTTCAAAATTACCATGTCCATCAATAACCCAAAGTGACCATAAAATTGAGTGACCGTATCTCAACAAAAAATTCACTATACACAAGGTACACGTTCATCGACTCTTGTCTGTTAAAAATATAATATCTATCGTGTCACATCCCCAGATGATCCAGATACCGGAAACCATAATGCAACCCTGTTTAAATGTTGGTCTGGGGCTCACCGGCTGGTTGCGGTGTGATTTGTGGCGAGCGCTTAGGTCGAAATTACGTGGAGCCGCGCGCGGTTCTCTCTGCCAGGGTGATTAGACGTTATTGATGTATCGGACGTTAGAATCAAGCTGGTCCAGGTGAATCAGACGTCGGAACGCCGCATGGATGATCTGGTTGAACGACTGAATTTATGTGCGACACTTATCTGAGGGTAGCTAACGGTATCTTTGTTTTGCAGTGAACCAAGAGGGCATGTCAGGAGAACGTGGGAACGTGAGGCGCAAGCTGAAATCTGCGTATCGACGAGAAGAGGAATGAGAGGGGAGAGTGTGGTCCATGAGAGTTAAGGGGGATGCTGAGGTAGAAGAAGACACTTAGAAGTTTCTGGCTGATCTGAAGCGTAGCTACTCACTGGGTACGTGGGTAGGTGCTTTATATACGCTTTATATTCTATAGGGGTGCGCCGTGAGGCTACATATCTATATACATACTTGTATATAGATATATATTGATGATCTGAAATCGAAGCGTCGCTTAGCCGAGCGTGAATCCCATTTATTTAAATCAAAGGAAGGAGCAGCCTCTGTATCTACTCATATCGATCTCTCTCACTCTTCCAGGAAAACCAAAGAGATCCTCACGGCATCGATAGACACATACCTGGCCAGCTTGAGTGGGTGAGAAGAAAAATTTTTATTAAAATAATTTTTGTCCATAAAAAATTGTATCTTGAATTAATCTCAAGCAGGGGACACCGTACGTAATTGAGTATTAGATAATTTTTTGAAAGAATCCTAGGTGAATATTGCCGTGACGACGCCAGGCGTCGTTCTCGGATAGGAAGGAGCATAAGTGCGTCGGCTCTCGTGTCTTCAGTGAGGTGGCACGAAGCGAAGCAGAGTCTGCGTAAAAGAAGAAGAGTTTAAGGAATCCGCAGAGAAATAAGAAGAAGCGTGGCGCGAAAGGATGAAGAAAGAGAAAGAGGAGGAAGCGGAGAAGGAGGCGTCCGCAAGAGAAAGAGAAATGGAGGGGTTTCCACTGTATAGTCGTATAGCTATAGGGGCGTAAGAGAAGTGGGATAGCTCAGGGGCGGAGCAACCAATGGCCAAGAAATTCACCGGGTGCACGCCCATATTCCGGCGTTCCGCTATTCCGGCGGCTTTCATGTTTCATGCTCTGCAACTACGTGGGCTCTACCGCGGGTAACCCTCTATAGTTCACGGCTCTAGATGGCTCAGTTCACTGTATAGTATGTGCCGTAGCTGCTATATCAGGCCGACCTGGCCCGAGCCGGGGAGTTGACTCAAGTGTGAGCCGGACGTAGAGGCCGCGGCGGAATCGTTTCATTTTTATTATCGCTTTTAAAACAACTGAAGCCTCGGACCGAGCACCGCCGAGACCTCTGAAGCGAGGCATCAATCTACATTAGCGGCTAATTTCACATTATTACCAAGGGGGGGAAACCTCCTCCGCCTGGGCTTCGCGGCCCTGCTACGGGACTATTTTTAAATTTCGAATTCGCCACCTTGTTTCGCTACCCTGGACACACGTACGTCTTTCTTTGTACACGCGTGTGTGCGCTTGTGTATTCCTACCATCCTTTCATTGGCTACCCTTATCCACCATTTTGCCTCTTTACGGTCTGGCCACCGTAACCTAACCTAACCTACAACACCGCTCTTCTTGCTAATTTAGACAAACGAGCCTTTAATCCGTTCGCCACTGTTTCGCTATTGCTTCGAGAATTCGCTCAGATAATCGCACTATTCTTATTCTTAGTATATATATATATATATATAGATTATAAGTTTTATACGGAAATGCATTCTGTTACTTTCTTTAAGGTTGGTCTGATGACAATGATACCTAATGCTTGGTCATCTTTATTTTCTAATGATTTAGCACGGGTTAGAGTCCGATTGGTGGTTTAGTAATTACATAAAAAGCCGATAATTTTTCCAACTGACCGTTCATCCTGTCACGTTGATTTCTCTCTTGATTTCTTTTTCCCTTTTCTTTTACGTTACTACGCTATTTCCGTATCGCTTCTTCCACCGGACTCTCGCCTGTCTTCGTAGCGAAATTTCACTCTTTCTTGCTCGGCCGATATTTTCTATCGTCTCTCGATCGGTACGAACCGCCTGAAAGGAGCGGCGAAACTAAAGGTGCCAAACGGGGCCCAGTGCGCTTAATTAATTTACGAGGAGAAAACCGGTAATGAGTTAACCTCATGCAATCCAGAGAAGCTCCTCGCGCGCACGCGATCCTTTCGACTGAAACACCCGGTATACGTATATATTTTATTTTTTTACATTTTTTTTTTGGATACTTGCAAATCTTTTATTGGCGCTTCATCTTCGGAAACTTCATTAAAACATGTATTTAGGGTCTCAGTCTCTGTCATTTGTCATATATATATACATTTTTTGGGACTGATCTTCGCTATTAAATTACTGTAATTTCCTACATCCGCTCGAGGACCTCGTTGGTTTCCGATTCTACAGAGTGAACACCCTGTCATTTATCGGCGATCTGTGGGACCCGTAAAGTCCCAATTTTTCTTTTTCTCTTTTTTATTTTTGGAAAGGCGAAGGGCGACGAACTTTTTCTTTTCGTAAAATCGAGAAATAAACGTCTTACTTTCAGATGTAATCGTCCCTTCGCGACATATGGCCCCTTTTAAGTATCCATCCGACCCAGTGGGCCCAACTTTGACTTTGTACCAAGGTGGCGATAGAACTATTCATTAGCCGTGGCTATATTACCCTCTAACGAGGTCTCTTTGAGGAGGAGAAAAAAAAGTAAAACCGCGTCCGTTGACAAGCAGACTCATTCGATTTTAATGGACGCTTTCCAGGATACTGGCAGGGGAGGGTGGAGGGATGAAAAGAAAAAATACAGGTTACACACGTAATAAACGAGCGTAGTTATCCTCAAGCTGAGAACTGTCCCGGCACCTCGTGTTTCCGCGTTTCTTTCTTCTTCATCGCCTAACCCTTAATTTGACATTAAGGGTGAAATTAGGCGCAGGTGTTACGTCCGCTTCAATTTCATGGATATATATATATATATTAGTATGTATATCAAAATTCAGATACGAAATCATTGAGAAATCGAATATCCAAATGTTCCATATATCATTGGGAATCGCTCCAAACGGACCAATCGACAGGCACCCCAGTAGTATAGAATATTTTCATAATTTAATTCCCAAAATATTCCTAAACTCCCACGAGCCGAAATTATCAAAAAAAAAGAAAACGTCCCCCACCACTCGACCCCAATAATCGACCTAAAAGCGTCCCTCTCGAAAGCGCGACGAAACTCCCGAATCATCGAAGGAAATTACGAATGCCGCGTACACGAGAAACACATCGATTTATCTCTGCGGCGAGACAATCGGAAATGGCAGCCCTTCAGAATTTCGACAGAACAATAAAGAGAGGGCCGGCAAGCGGGGTACAGGGCTCATATGGGACCGAATATCGTCCCTGTATCACATATGTACAATTCCGATCGTATAACACGCGTCTAATATATAGGTATAGCAATGCGTGTTACTTTTCGCAGAATGGCTGTTGCCGTGTATGGCAAGGGTGGAATTCGGATCCCCCGTTGGTCAAGAGGGATGAATCCCGTTTACCGACGACGACGTCCTCGGCTGGAATAGACACGTCAGCAATGGCACCAGGAGGCGATGGGGGACGGCCGAGTCCTTCGGGACGTCGCGGAGCGTCGGGACTGGTAAGATGGAAAGATCAATAGGCAAGATAAGGGAGGAGTGTTTTTGATCGGTCGCCGCGTCGCATCAAGGGACGCCACCTTGATCGTTGTTAATTGCGCAATTCCTAGGAACGACTTCCCCTCTCTTATGTATCAACTATATTTATAACGGTCCTTATACGTTACTCTTTCATCTTGTACGATACCGGCCAGATCTGTATACCGATAAGGACATTGATACCGATACCGAGAATATCTAGTGCTCAATAATAATTATCAGTTATAATCAAGAAATAAGGGATGATCGATGATCATAAATTTTTTTTCCTCCTTCAAACCGACGAACTTGATTTAGAAATTTTTTTTTTCACTTTGGTACTTTTATGAAATTTGTTTTTTTTTTATCAAAGAAAATAATGTAACGAAGTCTTTTAGTATCGTAATTTTTTGTTATGATTTTTTTTTCTTTTTCTTGTTTTGGTACGCGCGTTGCCACTTGGCCAGCATCGCCGAGTGAGACGTAACTTGGCGTCGTTTCGCTGGCACTTGACAAGACGCAAAAATAAATGAGAGACGCGAGATTAATGAAAGGCCCAGAGGCGTCGGCTGGCGCGTAAAGAGAAGGGCCTCTACCAGTGTGAGGCCCAGAAGGATCGAAAGGGGGTAAGGGTACGTTACTTCTCGATTGCCTGGTACTTTTTTTTTTCCTCTGGCTTCGTCCTCCATATACGAAGCTGAGGTTGGGAATAAAAAAGACAGCTCGTTCGGTCCCCACGCTTTAATATTCCCTTAACGTCTTATTCACGTCCTCGGGATGTCAAGCTTCGCGACGGATGATTCTACTAATTTACTTATATTTAATTAGCCGCTTTAATCTCGCCTAGCCATCTCGTCCCTGGTACCGTCGGCATTGAGTACCAATAAAACGATCGAAATTCGAAATTCCAATATATACAAAAAAAGAATCCTTGATTTAAAAAAAATAATTTTTATCCAAAAATGTAATATCGATTTTTTTTTTATTTCTACAGGCTTGCTCCTATCTCGTAAGGGTAGTTTGTACGGTCGCAACGAGAAGATAGGAAAGTAAATTCGAGTCGTTAAAAAATAATCACCGAATTAAATCGAGCCGTCTGGCCCGTGTAAACAACCCCTCCGGTCTCCGGGCAAAGGGATGGAGGGTGGCTGCGCTGCTCTGGGGGATTGTTGCAGGCGCGTTCCTCGATAATAGATGGCACCCCTGGGTACCGCAAATGAACCACGAAATACTGGTGGCGCCCTGGACCAACCTGTCAGTGGTTCACGCCGGCCGAATTCGAGAGTCAAGGATGACTCCGGGCTGGGCTCCTGATGGAGTCTGAAGTGAATCGGGAATCGGGCGCATCTGTCGCTACGAGGCGACAACGATCGTACGATAATAATCGTTGCATTGTAAATGCCTTGTAGCATCGCGGCCCTTGATGCGACGTACCGATTATAATGAATTCGAGACAGTCTTAATGGCCGC